CACTACCAAACGAAAGCCAGCCTATCGGTTTACAATCGCAGCCGACGTTGACCTCCTAAAAGTGGTCGTATTGGTGGCCCCGTTCGATGCGGGCTATGGGCAAACAACTGCTAGGTGGGATGAGATCGGTGACAACATGAGAAGCATCCATGGTGAAGCCATCACAGCAATCTGCTGCCGCAGGCGGTTCGACGACTTGCTGGCCGCATTCAAACAGGCCACTCTGAAGGCCCTTCGTTCGTCAGGCACGGAAGAGGAATACAACAAGCGTGATCAGCTCCTGCAGGGCATCGTTGACTTGGTAATTGAACAATGTGCGTATCTGGCTTGAACGACATGACTGTTAGATTGATGCGGCAGCTACAAAGAAGAATACGTTAGAGCAAGTTCAAGATAAGCGAGAGACCGATGGCCACCTCATCCATGAGGCGGCGATCGTGAGTATGAAAAGAAAAGCTGTCGACGACGAAGTGTCGCCACTAAAGGGGGCGGAGGCGGACGAAAAACGACGCGTTACTGCAGTGAAAGAGGCTGCCTGTGGTTGCCACGTTTACCGAGATGAAGATGATGCTGGAATCAAACAAAATCAAAGCAGAAGAAGTTGCGACCAAGAAGGAAGAAATCATGCTCGCCCAGCAGAAGCTGGAACTCGAACGCGCACGATATGAACTTGACAAGGCTGAGCGTGAAAACCGTTTTGCACTTGAAAAGAAGGAGCGCGAGGTGCAGATGGAGTTCATGCGTAGCACAATTGAAATGATGCGTGCATTGACAAAATAGATATATGTCGATATGTCGATTTATATTGTTGGGTGTGATCTTCATGAACAATAGCGTCCTTGTTGTCTTTCATCTGCATGAATAGCATCGCGGAAAATTGTACTTCATGGACGCGATGTATTGTACGCCTTATGCTGTGTGGATTTTACATGGAGATACTCCTCAGCAGGTGGAGACACAACACCAAAGTAGCTGGAAATTTGGTTGCCTCGCTTCATACAGGTATGGACATTTATCAAAATGACTGCCACGGCATACTACAAGCCAACTGCTTGAAGCCACAGCTTCTGTCCACCCTTGTAATCTACGAATGTCCGCAAGTTGCGAACTACACCAAAACCCCACTCTACACTCACATGCACAGACCTCATTTGCCGATTAAATTCAGTTTGATACTCATCGAAACGTGCACCTTTGAATCCACACACAATCACATCATTGATCCCATAAGCGGGATCTCCGTAAATAACGTACCTTACATCGCCTACCTTTAGCTTTGGCGCCAAATTAGCCACAATATTACTTCTCGCTAGTAAATAAGCATCATGTCGGGAGCCTGGCTCGGGTCCATAAAGGTGAACAATTATTCCGTCAGGGGACGTCACCACTTGATACTTCACAGCATGCTTCCTCTAAACAAAACAATTACACACAGCATAAATCAAACTCCCAATTCACCTTATGCCCATTTTACACTGTCTTTTGCACACGCTTTCCAGGGCAACAAATCCCGCGCACTGTGCCGTCAATGAATCCAATGCATGTTTGAAGGGGGGCGCCTTGCGCATGTATAGCGTCTGAACACTTCCGCATCCATGCAGCGTCAAGTCCATCGTCGTCCCAGGACAGCAAATGGCCAAACATGTCGTATATGTGTTGCAAGACGTGGCACGCAATGGCAGAGAGTGCCTCACGGCTCCGACCAAAGAGCAACACCATGGTGCCAAGACGGTGTGGCCACGTCAGACGGTTCAGTATGATACAAAGGGCTTCCACGCGTGGTGCTTTGTAGCGGCTGGCAGTGACGACAGGGTCAGGTAGCTTTAGCAGTCGTGCAAGTAACATGATCTCTTGCTTATTGAAACGAAAGTTAAACTCGCAGTCTTGGTTGCTCTGACTGTTTATGTCGAAGCGATGCGCAGGGATTGTTATTGCTCGGGACCCATTGGCAAGATACTCCACGAGCCCGGCGACGAGAGGAAGGACCGTCTGTCCATTCTCCATGGGTGAATGTGCAAAATCCTCCGTGGCAAAAACAACAAACCAATAAATTTCCTTGTTGCAAATTTCGAGAAAAGTCCACAAGGAAATTCACGTTTGCAAAATCATCACTCTAATGAAAATATACTCCATATGCAAAGGAAGGCGCAAACATTCACGGGTGACGTGATCGTTCGACTCTGGAGAGAACATTGCGGATCATGCAATTTGGGGTGGGAATAGCACAAGAGGGGTCTTGCGAAGTTCATGGATAGTTTTCGTCCAGGATAAAATGATCAAATTGGTTTTTTGGTTTTTCGGCAATTTGACAAATATGGAATATTTTTGTCCCGAGAGTGATGGTTTCGATGGCGGAATTCTTCGATCGAGATGTTTGATGGGACGGTGGGCCGCCGGCCGCGCGTGAGCTTGGCAGGCAAGAGACCATCCGCGAAGGAGATGTCCAAGCACGACTTTGTTGCAGCTGCACGGGAAGAGCGTATGAAACGAGCCCAAAACCGCCTCCTCCAAGAGATGAGCATCAAGCTCCAAGCATGGTTTCGGGGATGCCGCTCTCGCAACCTCACTCGCATCGCGTTCCAGCAAGCCGTCACTGCGAAATGCAACGACATCGAAACTCTCCAACGATTGTACACCTTTGAGGTTCCGGTCCCCGTGCTCACTCGTCTTCTCCAAGAGACCATATACGTTGGGCAGCTGTGGCCACCGACGAACGATGGTTCCGTGCCCAGCGCTGTCCTACGTTTTGTGCAACAATCATGGGTCACACTCCAGTCCGAGTGGGCGAAAACCCCGTCGAGTATGCGGGAGTGGAGCTGCCGTATATCGTCACTCTGCTCGCTTGTGTTGCGCCATCGACCGACAGACTTGGCGGAATTCATTCCAGTCGTCGCGCACTCCCTTCCCCAGGCGCTGTACCGCTGGTCCATCTTTCCATCGTATGGATTTTTTGATGCCGTAGTGGAAGCATGGACGAGAGATCCCCACCACCGTACGTGTACCCCGCCCTTCGTCGACTGTCTTTGATTCCCTCGAGTTGCAGAGTTTCTGCAGCTCGTTCCACACGTCAGCTCGCTGGTGCACACATATGCGCTACACGCCAAGTTTGCGACCGTTCTCATGTCGCTGCCGCTGAGCGCCCAGCAACCCACCTTGGTACTTTGTGCTCAATGGACAGCTCAGCTTTGCTCATCCAACCCCATCGATGCACTAGAAACCTTGGCTTGAACAATCGTTCCTTCACCTGCCAGCCACATCCTCGTGGGTGACATCGCCATGGAATCAAGCAGTCGTTGTGGGAAACTTGGCCGACCTCATCGTAATCTGCCTGAATAATTCGTCCCTCATTTTCTGATGTAGAGTTCGCCAGGAGGCCATGCGAATACCTCTGGGCTCGAATTGCTTGCGACGTACGCATCTGACGCGATGTTGTCGTTTGCATTTGGCCAGCAACAACACGCTGATCACCGTGGACCCACCGCGGCCGTGATCGCCGCTGACCCGTCGCTGTGCGAGGCCGTGCAAGCCCAAGTTCAGCTGCTCGCGTCGCGGTCGTTTGTGCTAAAGGTGTGGTCGGCAGCACTTTCAGCGTCCTCACCGGTCTTCCTCCACTCGATCGCTCAAATCTTTGCTTCGATGATCATCCTGCTGCCCCCGTCGAGTCCTGCGTTGTCGACAGTGCTCTTTACCTTGTCCAGTTCGACCATGCTTTTGCAAATGTTTGAGAATTTGAGTCCGTCGCCGGCGTACTCGCCGCACTGGGTCGTCTTTTGTGCATCCTTGGGGCACTACCTGCACACTGCCGACGATCAGCATTTTTCGAGCCACTTCCCTCCCCGCGCCGCCCTCACCGCCCTCTTGAACCAAGCGCTGTACGGCCTCCTGTGGGTTGAATCCCTGCCGGCATATACACGTGCTTTTGAAGCTCAGTTGACGCACATGATCCATGTGTTCAACGAGCTCTACGTCCGCCACGCCCGCGTTCCGTTTTGCCCAAACGAGCACTGGCTGTGGCCGACTCTGGCGATTCCGACGGACATCATGCAATCGCTCGACTTGGACGACGACGAGCCGCTGACCGTGCAAGTCTGCTTTGGCACGAACAGCCGCGTGAAGCTCCAATTTGTGCTGACGACACTGCCCCAAGTCGTGCCGTTCGAAGCGCGAGTGTCCCTCTTCCACTCGTACTTGCTTCTGGATAAGCAAACCGTCCCGAGTCGACACGTGTTTGCGTCACTGATTCCACTCCGCATTCAACGCGATCGCATCGTGCAAGACAGCTTCCAGGGGTTCCAAGCGGTCGAATCGCTCAAGGGCCGCATGCAGATCACATTTATCAACGAACAAGGGCTCGAGGAAGCGGGCGTCGACGGCGGCGGTGTCTTCAAGGAGTACATCGACACGCTGACGAAAACCGCGTTCTCCACCGAGGTGCGCCGAACGATCTGTGCAGGTCTTTGTCGTCCAGGGCGCTGCTGCTCATGCGGGGGTGCCTAGTTTCCGTATTTTCGAGCAACCGACGATCGGTTGCTGTACCCAAATCCACTCGCGCACGTGGTGTCGGGTGCGTTGACTGTGTGCATGGAGTTGCAAGTTGGCGTTCATGCTCGACGTAGACGACGCCGTCGCGCACTTTCGTTTTCTCGGCCGCGTCCTCGCCAAAGCCGTCTACGAAGAAATCCTGATCGAGCCGCAGTTTGCGCTCTTCTTTTTGAAAAAGCTGCTTGGCCACTTCAACACGCTGGACGACTTGCGGTCGCTGGATGCCGAGATGTACCGCCATATCGTCGAGCTCAAGTCGAATCGAGACGTCGAGGCGCTCGGCCTCACGTTTACTGTGGCGTCGGGACCGAGTGCGCATGAACTTGAATGTTTGCTTGACGCCGTATTGAACTCGTTGTGTCGGCAGGTTCTGTGCATGAATTGGAGCCGGGTGGAAGTCTCGTCCCAGTCACCAACGACAACGTGATTCGATACATCCACAAGTTGGCCGATTTCAAGCTGAACGCGCAAATTGCAGCCGCGAGTCGGGCGTTTTTGCAAGGATTTCACGACTTGATCCCGACCACGTGGCTCCACTTGTTTAGCCCCGTACGTGGGAGAAGCGCTGAAGTGTGCTAAGAGGGCAGTAGGCGGAGCTCCAAATGCTCATCGGGGGCTCCAACTACGACGTGAATGTGGACGACTGGCGAGCCCACACCAACTACGGCGGCGGGTACCATCCGTCCCAGCCCTTGATTCAATGGTTTTGGGAGATTGTCACGGAATGCACCCCAGCCGAACGCGGGGATCTCCTCCGCTTCATCACGAGGTGCGTTGTTCACCATGGTTTTGTTGCTTCTGCATGGCGGAATTGTAGCTGTTCGCGGCAGCCGTTGCTCGGATTCAAGCAGCTCAGTCCATGGATATGTATCCAGCAAGTCCGTGTGCAGGACGACGACCGGCTGCCGTCGAGGTAAGCCATCATGACCACAGTGCCGAGTCGGGACGGTGCACTCACGTGCTATAGTGCGACATGCATGAACCTGCTCAAGCTGCCCACGTACTCGACAAAAGAAATCATGCGCGCCAAGCTGCTGTACGCCATTCAAGCGAAAGCGGGCTTTGAACTGTCGTAGCCGAGTTCGTGTAACAAGCTCGTCTACTTTGTTCGTGCTACGTGAAGGACGCTGGATGCATTCAGCGCAGTCGACAGAACGACGAGGTAGTGCCACCACGGGAATGCCCTCGACGTCGAGACAACACACTTACTTCATGGCATCTCGCGACCCATCAAGACAGAGTGTTAGATTCAAGGTCCGCATTCGAAACAGCCCTGTAAAGGCCATCAGTCGTCCATGGTCACCACGGGGATGTGAAGGAGGATGGAGTTTACAGGAATTCTTGGAATAAACCATGTAGCTTTCGTGCCTTGGAAGGGCCACCGCGGTCGAGTTACACAGGCGCAGTCAGCGAAAGGAATGCACGTTGCCTTGTGGCGAGGTGTGGTTTGCAACGAAGTGCTCGATGGTGTCCCATCAAAGCAGGTGTGGCCATCTTGAAGAAAACGACGCGTTCGTTTCTTCCATGCATGCCACACAACACCTGGGTTATTCGCGGCGCGAATAGTTTCTAGGAGACGCGATGTCTCTGTTGCGATGGCCTCTCGGATCTGCGGGTACTGAAGCAACTCTTTGGGGAGTTTCCAAAATCCTTTTCCCATCGTTTGATTGACGTCTTCTAGCACTACCGAATGGATCGCGTGGTCGCCAGCAACGTCAGGCCGCTGGTACTCACTGGAGACATAGCAGTCTCGTACCAGGTGCGTATCGACCAGGATGTAGTCCAGTCGAATGGTGCTGTGTGGACCTGAATAGGTCCTATCGTCCGAGTGGTGCATGCGCCATGCGTTCGTTACCCAAAGGGCAGCAAGCCACTCAAGGCAATCGACGCGCCCGACAGTGTGGCTGTGGTCCGCATCGAGGTACAGGTACATCGGTAGGTTGAGGTCGCCCATGATGAAATGAGT